AACAAGATCCACTAAAAGGAGAGAAATCATCCTAGGCATTTACTTCATTCTGGTGAAGAATGATGACAAAACTACCATCTCTGTATTACTAAGTTTAAAAAGAAAACTTGATTGGAGCCTTACATGCAGTAGTCCTGACAAGGGCATGATTAGATGAGCTCTTGTGATTCAGTTGACGAATTGCAGTTGTACATTTGCCATTGTTACACTGAAATCAATCAAAGCAAGCTTGCTCGGCCACACGCTTCAACTACATACATACACAGTGGACAAAGGGTGAACAGAGGATCATGGGCAAAGCCCACACACTGTTTTACAGAACAGGTGAGGTCACATTCAACTCCACAAAGGCATTCGATGAACCTCCTGCAGAACGAAATCAATGGGAAGTCAACAGTTTTGTTTACATCCTATAGGATGGGCTATGGTGGGCTAAAAGTGGCCAGTATTCCAAATAAGAGGATTAAACTGCTGTTTATCATCTTTTTCCCCCCTCTGGTAATAAGTTTTTGCTCATGATTACTCTTCATGCAAAACTTGTCCTTTCACAATAAAGCAGCTACCACTTCATCATTTTTTACTTAGTATCATGGCAGTTCAGACATTTCCACCATCAGGGAGGTGGCACAGCAGAAGATCTTACTGTACTGTAAACACTGCTCTTTTTTTGGATCTACCTCGCAGAGAAGATAGTTAAGAAAGCAGCTGGCAATTATATTCAGCGTAAGGGTTCACAGTTTTGTGAGGTTTGTGAAGCAATCAGGTACTGATAGGTTAGACAGTCGATGCTGCTGGCATCCCACACATCCCCAAATATGCCACCACAGTCCAGCAAACCCCCTGTCAAACAGGATGATCACATAAACGTTGATGGAGACCCCGAGATGACAGCTGTTCTGCCTGATGCTGCCATGATTATACACACAGTGAGTTTGCATGCAATGAATGAGACTGCAGACATAATTTTAAACATGGATAATTTATCTTTTTGGCTAACATTTCCTCAGGCTGACAACGGCACAATCTATTTTCAACAGTTTATAGCTACCTTCACATGACTATCAGGTCACCATGAACTGAGCAGTTTTCTAAAATAACACATCTCAACCCAAGTATGAGGTATCAGCCACTGTACAAGGTACTAGCACTTCATATATCATTACTATTTTTTTACTTTGAGACATGCATTGTTCCTCTGATTCACATATATTCACAATGCACTGACAATGCCACAGAAGCAAGGACAGAAAATTGGCCTCAATATATGGAAAAAGCTTGTCTTGGTTCCAACAAAATCCTCTCTCTGGGCAACTAATTTGCCTGCAAGCCTTTCAGCTTTCATCTACACCACGCAGGGTGGGATGATGCAAAAATTAATCCCCTTACAACTCTCTTTCCCACCTCCCTTCTACACCTTGCACCCTTCCTAACAACCCCAAAGGATACCATACTATGCTGAGAAATCTTCATAGACTCCAGTCCCTACTGCAGCTGGTCTGGATGGAGATTGGATCCTGAAAGGAGGTCGTAGAGAGGCAGGGGTCAGTCCCTTGTCCCAAGTAACAAGCGATAGGACAAAAGGAAACAGCCTCAAGTTGTGCCAGGGGAGGTTTAGATTGGATATTAGGGAAAATTTCTTCATGGAAAGGGTTGTCAAGCATGGGAACAGGTTGCCCAGGGAAGTGGTGGAGTCCCCATCCCTGGAGGTATTTAAAAGATGGATAGATGTGGTGCTTAAGGACATGGTTTAGTGGTGGACTTGGCAGTGCTAGGTTAACAGTTGGACTTGATGATCATAAAGGTCTTTTCCAACCTAAACAATCCTATGGTTCTATGATTCTACGGTAAGAATGAAGCTTCCAATTCTTGGTCTACCTTCCCGGGGAGTGGTGAGGGAGTAGGGACGACACCATACAAAAAGCCCAGAAAAAAGGTCAGTCTGCATTACAAGGTAGATCTATCACTCTGAAAGGGGGTTCCCAACACTTGTGTATCTCCACTCCCCTGGAGAATGTAACTGTGGCAGCCAGAGGGTCTGGTTTGTTTGTTTTACACCCATCAGTGTTTTGTAAAGCATTTGCCATTCAAGTGAGAGAAAGCCACAGGCTTTGAGGTACCAAACAAGGCAGTCAAAGCCCTAAGTCTCCCTCAGTTTTTTCTTCAACCTCTTTTTTGCTGTTCTCTCTGCTGGCAGAGGCACATGAGGAAGCACTGAGAGCATTTCATACGCTCACAGAGGGGGCTGCGATAAGGAGGCTGTGGTGGGATGGGAGCTGCCATCACGGAGCTGGCAGGCCGTGCCTCATGTGGCGCCGAACACACCCAAAATGGTGGAAGGGCGATGGAGGAGGGGAGCTGTAGTTCCCTCCCGGCGTGGAGCAGGACCAGTGGTGGGCCAGCATGAGGAAGCACTGAGAGCATTTCATACGCTCACAGAGGGGGCTGCGATAAGGAGGCTGTGGTGGGATGGGAGCTGCCATCACGGAGCTGGCAGGCCGTGCCTCATGTGGCGCCGAACACACCCAAAATGGTGGAAGGGCGATGGAGGAGGGGAGCTGTAGTTCCCTCCCGGCGTGGAGCAGGACCAGTGGTGGGCCAGGGGAGCGGAGCTGCCGCTGCGGGGGCGGTGCGGACGCGGGGTGTGAGCGCTGGGGAGCAAGGGACTGGCTGCAGAGAGGTTGGCCCCTGACCCCCTCCAGTTGAGGCTTTCATTGTACAGCCCTGCAGGACTTCAGAAATCAGATTTCCCAGGGAATGCTGGAGATCAGATTATACTGTGAGTTTTAAGGTAAATTGTGGGATTTTTGGGTGGATTTATCTGCTCGGCCAACCAAAATATTTAATTTTAGAAGCGCTTATGTAACAGTGCTGGCGTTCTCCAAAGAAAACAACCTGATTCCACCCAGCTGCCAACAGTCCTCCCGGGCAGCTTTTTCCAGCAGAGTTGCTAATTTGGGCTATTTCACTGCAAAAACACCTAGCCAGGGAGAGGAAGGATCCCATGAGAGCAGGGTCTTGTGGCCACCCTTGCAAGGATGCCCCTGCAGAGCCCAGCGAGGCACCTGCAGTCAGGAGCATCGGGGCCGGGGCCGCATCCATGGCTGGCATGCTGAGTACCGGGGGCTGCCCCACACAAGGAAACTGCTGCTGGGTGTCCGGTTTTCTCCTCTGTCAAACGGATCTGAGGAAGTGAAGCAGCCCAGCCCTGCCATCCAGCAACATGTTAGCGTCCAGCAGATCCAGAATGGCAGGAAAATAACAGCCCTTGTTTCCCGTGGTCATTGCCTGAACTTCATCAAGGTAAATAATCTGCATCCCAAACCAATAAAGTTAACCAACCAGGTATAACCACTCAGAAATAGTAATGCTACTCACCCTGCGCTTTGGGGAGTGTAGAACTACTGTGTTCCGCTGGTTAGTAAACATGGGCTGTGAAAATGTTGAGCTCAAATTTTCCAACTCGAGGCTACTTCAACAGACTCGGGGTGCAGCTACCCCCCGGACATATGCATGTAAATTAACCAAAGCGAGTCTTCGTTGTTAGCCTTACTTGACTTTATTCTTATTTGTTATTTCAATTAAATCCTACAGTTGTTTTTAACAGTCCAGTTACTGCTGAATTCTAGGAAAATGACAAAGTTCTGGTCACTGGTTTTGGTTGGAAGGGTCACCCTGTTGGCAACATTCATGGAGTTCAAGGTTGTCAAAGTAGCCACTGTTTCTTTGTTGGTCTTGTACAAGGGCAAGAAGGAGAGACCAAGATCACAAGTTCCTTTTGTGTAAGCTAGAGTACTAATAAACCTTTTGATAATTTGACTATTTTCCTATGCCTTTCCGTGCCATAATAAATGGTTTGTATACATAAATATATCCTCTGCATGTTATTAAACACCGGGTGACATGTCTCAGTGAACATTTTTGCAACGGATGACACTAACTAAACCTGAGCACTTCTCTTTGGTTTTGGATCAAACAAACAATACTGATTTTGAAGAACGTAGTGAAATGAAGAAAAACTGTCATAACAGAAGTGTGCCAAAGTCCTACTAAAGTTTAAAAAGAAACAGCAAAACCTACAGTACCATCATCTTAAATCATCTTTCCTAGATCTTAACGTCTTAGTGAATATTTGTGCACCAAATGCCATAGTTTGTTTCAGCATATTCATTTCATTTATGAATCAGTTTCCTTCCTAGTCAGCTTTTAAGTATTCCTAAGATTGTAAAGCAAAGCTGTACCATTTTTACAAGATTAACTTCCCTATTTTAAAATTACCAAATAGCGATTGCATTCTCCACATTGGAATTCCATCTGCTAAAGAGCTGCATTTCATAGTACTAATTTGTTTGCTCCTGAAACTGTGGCTGGGTTTTCTAGTTTTTGTTTGTTGTTTTTTTTATTTTTTATGTTTTTTATTATTTATTCTATCCAGATTGAATGTAAAAATAGCCCTGCAAAAACAAAGTATGTATTTTCTACTTAGGCTGTAAACATAGGTTGTGTTAATAAAGATGCATTTACATCTAATCACAGGAATCCCAAAAAGGGAAGTGAATGTTCATGACTTTTTCTTTTAGGGAGCGGATTGCTTGAACGAGGCAGCTGTGCCTGTTCAGTTGGCACCTGCAGGTTGCTAGTTTGGCAGTACAGGCTAACAGTGGCTTTGAAAATTAATAAATGCTTGTTTCTCTTACAGGGTTTTTCCCTGCTGTAGATCCACTGGAAGACTTAGGGGCAATGTAGGTACTTCAGTCAAAAGCTGGAAGTATAAGAAATGCTGGCTCAGCTACCCTCAGAGCTCCTCAGTATCTTCCTCGCTCACCCTAAATACACCGTAGGTGATATTTCTGCTTTTGCTCGCCTTGTGAGCACCCCGGCAGGCGCCTGCTGCAGACGCCTGGCGAGGACGCGGAGGCGCCCAGTGAGCCCCAAGAACGCTGCAGCAGCAGAACGGGGGCCGCCAGGCTGCAGCCGAGGCCGCTCCACGCGAACCAGGGGCGATGCCACCGTGCCCTCCTCGCTTCTACGCCGGCTCCATGCCTGCCCGAGCGCGGGAGTCATCCTCCCTTTCTCTTAACCACGGGAAGCGCTCGCCTGGCGCTACGGAGCAGGGCCGCACCAGCGCTGCTCGGTGCAGACAGCCTGAACTTCGGCGTCCTTCGCACCTTGCCCTCCCTTCTGTCTCCTCAGAGAAGCTGAAGCTTCCTTTCGCTGCCTCACCTCGTGGAGGCGGCGGCGCGCTGCACTCCGTGCCTGCCTGCCCGCTTCCCTCCTGCGGCCGGTTACTCCCGCAGACACTGAATTAAACGCGTTA